ATTGTTAAAAACATTTTAACATAAATCTAAATTTTAAATAAAATCAAAATAATATTTTCAACCTAAAATACTATCACACTACATCAGTTATTACCATATTATTGATTAAAAAAAACTTAATTTTTGACCTACCTGTCGAATTTTATATTTCAAAAATGTTTAATTAATAAAATTTGTGCTGCAATTCGGAAGAAATGTTTACAGTGGGACACAACTATAGTTGTCACCCGGACTTAGATACTTGCACATAAATTGAAGTACACCAAGCGAGTGACATACCACCACAGGTTGGTTGCAAAGCTATTGACGTACGCCGGCGTTGACGGATAGTTAAACAGTAGAAACTTTAACCTAGATTTCAACTTAAAATTTTTTTACACATGAAAAATSAAAAACGGTTAGGTTAGGATCGAAATTGTAACCGGAAGATAACATTTGATTTGTTAACTAAAATTAACAATTATTATAGACTATATTAAAGTTATCTATATTTTAGTTATTTTGTTGTACCTAACTCAAAAATGCTTTTCGTATCCATTTATATAATAGGGTGCCTATAGATCATTATATTTTATGAAGGTAGTTACATCTCTAATGATTTTTTAGACACGCACTAGACCCACACGTAAAAGAGTTGATATGTTTTCAGCAGGTAGATACAATTTTATATTGTCATTTGTTAGAAAGATTTAATTTTTCAGTGTACCTATTAATCATTATTAAACTTAAAGCCACGGTCGCACGATGATAGTAAAACGCGATAGTTACTATCATGAGAATATGTGATAGTACTGTCCAACTATCAAATGTGTTCAAATGTGATAGTGTGATAGTTAATTGTGATAGTAGGTGGAACATTGATTAAAATTGTTAAAATTTGTATTCAAGTCATTGACTATTGTTGGCTGATGCATTTTATAYATAAGTGTTTGTTAAATATTTAAATATTAAATAATGTTGACCGATGCAATCGAGYTAGCTCTTATTGATGTAATCAATAAATTGATTACTTTAAAAAGAGGAAATCGAAGGTCAAAAAAATTATTGGTGYGAAGTTGGATTAACCCAATTAGGAATTACAAACACTCTTTTAAAAGAGTTAACAGTTGAAGATAAGTCTAGTTACTTCAACTTTTTAAAAATTAATGAAGAGATGTTTAATGTATTAGGTACTTCAAAAGGTAAATATTTTATAATATTCATGATTGTTAATGCTGTAATTTTGCTGTGGCATATATAATAATTAATTTATTTCGGTGCTTGGCCAAAACGTGTAAATTCATAATTATCAACTTTTCAGGAGGAATATCTAAACATTCGTAAGTCCTGTTTAAATTCATAAAAAATCAATTATTTTAAATATTTTCATGATTTTGATGTACTAAAATCATTTAAGATTTTCAAAAAAATATTTATTTTGAACTTCACTTAATAGTCTTTGATTTTTCATTTTTTTACATTCAAATTAAAACAAAATAATGTTTTATAGTCAATTTTTGACATTTGTGAAGTTGGCCACCTAAGTGATTCAATTTTTTTTAAATCAATGCCATTATTTTGCAAGTATAATAATTTATTACAATATCTCAATTACCAATGTTGATTTATATCGAAATGACCAAAACAATATTTAAAAAAAATTAAGACGTAAGACTTAAACCGTCTGGACCAAAAAAAACAACATACAATTATGTAAAATCTAAATGAGTCAAAATTTTATTTTTGGAAAAATCTGACTTAACTCTTTTTGACGGACGACTACGAATTGGTTCCCAATTGTCGAATTGGTTCCCGGGTTGTCTACAGGTAACATACGAGTTGGTTCCCGGATTGTCTACAGGTAAACATACGAATTGGATCCCGCAAGCTTTCATGATAATACAATCTTGTTAAATTAACTTTTAAAATTATTATGATATATTCAACAAGCAACAATTTCCTTCCCATTTATTCAGACTTAGGACTGTCTAGAATTCA